GAACTTGTGACATTAAGTAGTCAAGTCTGGGATATAGGTAGGCATCTTAGGCAAATTCAAGCATCCGAATTTTTGGTAGTAAAGCTGCTCCTGTTCTCACTTTTCACATTTATATAAATGTGAAATTTATTTATCTTTATTTTATTTATAAGTCAAATTGAATATGGACAAAATGGCGCCAAAAATCGCCGCTACACAAAGCCAAAATAACAAGACAAACAATTGCACAAACTTGGTTTCCATGTACACATCGACTTATTTTCACTTTAAAAAAAAAAATCCCCGAATTGCGCAAAAATGGCAATGCGCACTCCTTTGATTTTATCCATGTACACATCGACCTATTTTCACTTAAAATCTCAGAATTGCACAAACTTGCATTGCACACTCCCTTTACTTTGTCCATGTACACATCGATATATTTTCACTTAAAAAGTCAAAGGAGCACCAAATTGTACAATATAGGCAAACAAAAAATACATAATCTCAATAAAATACATTTTAAACCAAACAATACAATAATATAAAAAAGAAAAGACATGTTATACATTTAAGCACTACCAAAAGCAAATATTCACTTACCATGTTTTTCGAGTTCACTTCGTACACCCTGAGCCATGTGAAAATCAAAATATCAATCATACTCAAATGACTTTTTTCAAACCAGGTACTCTTTCTGATCAAAGGCTTCACATAGTGACCATCTGAACCTTTCTTCCTACAAACCCATTCAAATCCATCTAAACGGTTTTTACGTTTCATCTAGATGCATATCCTTCCTACATACTTATAATGGCTACTAGGTAAGCCTTCATTTACACACCAGTCAATTAAAGCTCTTTTCCCCTTTCGCTCCAAATCGTACAGAAACTTCAAATTAATCTTACTCATTCGGCCATTCTACCGTCTAAAGAATCAAACCAACACACACCACAAAAACGCTTACAAAACATCCCACGATTCAAAATTTCCCAGAATCATGCACCCGATTATGTCACAATAGGGTTTCCAGAACATTCAACTACTCAGGCTACCATAAATGAAACAACAACTTAGTGATAAATCAAACAAGAACTTAGCCATAATTACAAGGGGTACCTTAAAGTCTACTCTACCCGTATTTTTCAAATGCTTGTTTGATATTTAAGTTTTTTATTTTATCTTTATGTATCCTATCTTACTTTTGGATCTCAGCTGGGTCACTTGAAATAATAAAATGGGTCACTCAGTGACCCTTCAGTCATAGGTTGCCAAAACCTGAATTAGCCTGTCACACTCCCCAAAAAGCATATTGTTGGTAAACAGTAATACTAAAATCTTTCACGTATCTTCTTTATCATAAAAATACATTCTCATCACTATAAGAAAGTAAATCAAGCAAAATGTATTTTGTCTTAGTAATATCACAAACATTAATTTCTGACACATATGAAAAAGCGTATTAGTAATATATCGAGTCCAGCACAAAATTTTTAGCATTACACAGTTTCATATTCCTTATTATCTGTATTCGAAATAAAATAATAATGAAATTATGTTCATTACGTATACATCATTTACCACATGCTACAAGTTAACATCATTAGGTGGTCTTGTTAACTAAACCTGTCAGCATATAGTCATGTAGTATATATAACTAATATCTCATTTTCAAACAATGAAATATTAATATCAAACAAAATCATGTGTCTAAGAATGCTGGAAATATGTTGCATATATTCGTTTTAATATTATGCATCCAAGCTTTGAAATATCACAGAAGTATATTTCATAACTTTGTAGAAATTTGTGTAAAATTATGTCACAATAATAGATAAAATAAAATTCCATAACTATTTACAAATATAGAGATATGTTTAAACTGGTGTTCTGACAGGTTTTAAAATCTACTACCTTTTCTACATTTATTTATTTCTAAATTCAGCTTTCACTAAAACACTCCATTTGAAGTGTCTTAAGACTCGTTGCACAGAAATTAATAAATATATATAATAAAATCCAGATCACAACATTTAAAAACTTTTAAATTTCTCACTAACTTAATAAACTATAATAATTTTTGAAAATTTTCTGATCTTACGAGGATATATAATTTAAAATCTTTTAATTAAAGATTTCAAAGAAATATATCATTTCAAAAACTTTAAAGAACTTTCAATTAAGGATCTTAAAGAAAAATATAATTTAAAGAAACTTAAATGAACTTTTTAATTTAAATATTTTAAAGAACATTTTAAGTATATTAACCACTTGTGAAATTTTAGAAAAAATCCTGCATTATTAAAATAGGTAGCAGTAACTGATTTTATAAAATTTTGTTTTGGGATGGGAAATTCACAAATCAACTTTATCTCCTTTACTATTTAAATATTTCATAATTTTTCTTCAATTTCAAATGACATCAACTACAAAAAATGAAGCCTTTTTTACATTTCTGAAATTATTATCTAGCTTGAAGATGTAAACCTTTTTGTGATCATTTGCTTCAAGACATTTGCTAGAAACTGCAGTGTATTTACAATAATATTTATTTTAAACCAATTATAAAGAAAGTTTAATTATTTTAAATAAAGTTGCAAGGCATTTATAATGCAAGTTTTACTGAAATATGTAACTAACATACAGTATTTTCTCCCAATTAATATCTATTAGCAGTAAAAATAAGTAAAAATAAGTTTTATTTATACTGATTTATTTTTACTAAAATTAGAAATCAAAGATTAGCTAAATTTAAAAAGTATAAGTAATCATATTTGTAGATGAGAAAGACATGTAAGGATTTTAAAGTTTTCTTCAAAACAAACCATATGTTTACATATAGGTTACACAATAAATAATAATTATGATTTTAAATTCAGACTATTTCAACCTCATACAGATATTTCCTCAGTAAACATTATGAGGATTCTTTAAGAAGCAAAAAAATATTCTGCTGAAACTTCTTCTGTAACACCAAAGTAATTTAAGAATTAGTTTTCTTTAAATTTAAACTCCCACCCTTTCACTTACTAATAAACATGTTTGAAAACAATTAGAAAACCTGAATTTTTAGAAAAATATGTGCACAAAATATGAAAAATCTTTAATGCTATAAATACCTAAATAAGGATTCTAGAGATATATATAAATCGTAATCTAGAGTTAGAAGTTAAAGCTTGCTTATTACATTCACAAATTCAAAAAACTTATGTACATATATATAAGAAGATGAACTGATTAAAAACAAGATACTTAAAAGTAACAGAAATATGTTTCTTTTCTTTTTTAAAAAAATTAATAAATTCTTAATATTTCTGCAATGGAATTCTTTGAAAAATAAGATGAGTTAGCACATTTAATCAGACGTATGAAAAGAAATGTTTTGGAAAGCAATGTGATGAATATACTCTCAAAATCAAATAACCGATTTTAAAATCAATAACACTTTGCTGTGATAATTGCTTGGAAGATAAACCAACTATACCCTGGGATAGGGCCAAGCCCAAGTGCCTATGAGGAAGAACTTCTTTGGTCAGCATGGAAATTAACAACTTCACAATGAGATTTTATTTGAATTCATCATTCGCACCACTTTCTAACTATATTCCGGTGAGCTGAAACATTTTTTTTTTTCTTCTTTTTTATAAGGAAAGAAATGACTAAATCAAAATTTTAATGCACGTATTTTTCTACAGCAAACATTTGTCTACCTGTACTCGCAAATTTCCGATAGAAAATTATGAAATTTTTAGATGATAATTATCTTTAGCAATATAATATGTCTGCCAACTAAGCAAATGCCTAGGAAAACATGCATTTTTGTTCAATGACAAGAGAATCTTCGCATAGAAATCCATGTAACTGATAGTCACCGTCTTCTCCATAGGTAACTTTTTTTTTGGAGAGATGATAGTAAAAAAACACCAACAGTTATTTACACTCATAAAAATACCAATCACTTTTACAAGAGGACATCATGAAGGGTTTTAATGTATATTCTATTAGTAACAAATGATATAATGCGGGTCTCATCAATAAATCAATTTAAAACTGTTTTAATGGTCTTAAGATTGGTACTGTTCACTAGGTACATGCTGCTTTCAGTCAAGTTAATATTTTAGACACGCAAACAACTTAAGATTTTTTTAAAATCAAATTGGTGAGATTTTAGTCACAAATTTAATGATTTACTGAAAACAATTGAGAAAATATGTTTACAATAATTCAAACAGCCTAAAAAAACTGAGGTTTTTTTAAAGGGCTCAAAATTCCAAAAACTAACAAACACTTTACCATAGAAGTTTATTACAAAAATGTAAATAAAGCACTAAAACTGAAAAATATGTCATATAATATAAATACGAAAGTGACATAGTATAACAATATATTAGTTACATTATTACAGCTTATTAATTTTTTAACCACCAAACTCTACTCTTTATAGTGAACAGAAAATACTGAAAAATACTGTATTGCATATACAAAGAAATGAAATTCAGACTAACACTAAGAAAATTATAGACACCGCGATTTAATAACACATAATATTATTTCAGATTTTCTTCAGTACAAAAATTAATTATATTTTTATAATTAACATAATACTCAAATTCCCGGTTTATTGTTATTATATAAGTTTGTATATAACCAAGTCGGAAATATTAATATAACTCAAATCTGCTCATTCTGAATGAAAATGATAATCATAACCATATTAAGACAGAAACTGTAAACTGTTTTCAAATATCGAAGCTATGAAATCAAATGTTAAAAAAATGTTAATAAAAATTTAAAAGATTCTACTTTCAGCCGAATCTTTTTATAACTTATAAGAATGTTTTATAACGCATAAATTTTCAGATTTATTAAAGACCTCGCAAGCGACATTTTTAATCTATAGAATTATTTTTATAAACATTAGAATAAATTCAAATTTCGTATTCGTAAAATTTTTTTAATCTTTTCTTCCCATTAAAATACACATATTTAAATAATAAAATGAATAACGAATTTTGTCTTACCTTCTGGTAATCCAGAACTGGTTGATGAATGAACTCGCCGCAACACATTGGGAACAGCTTCGATAACTTTATGAGATTTCAAAATAAATTCCTCGGCGAGAACTTCGTTTTCATTTGATGCTCTGATCACAGAAACGGAGAACAGCACCACACAGAAAATTACATACAAATACTTAAGAGAATTCTGACACCGCACACTTGACAGAACAATCCAAGGAATACAAAAAATAAACATAAAATCCATTATTTATACAGAAAAATGCAAATGATCGCAAGCCTAAGGCATAATCATTAAAGTAAAAAGTACGTGCTGTCGAATATGGCAATCACATTCTGAAAATTTGAGAAAAAAATACCAGTTAAACAATTACTATGCATAGTTCACATAGACAAGAAACGGCACTTTCTCTGAGAGTGACATGTTGGAGTGCGATACATTTAACATCTTGACCAATAAGATCAGTCGCTTTTCTCTCAAAGAGAAAGTACAAGTTTTGAGAGACTCCAAAATGAGAAAACAGTGTAGAAAGTGCGCACTAGCGCCACACTAGTCTCTGAGTTTGAAATTTCAATCTTGGGGCTGAAGTATTTTCTGTAAAGTGTTGAATTAAATCACATTTATATCAAAAAATTAATTAAAAAATATATAAGCTCTGCTGTATTGATTTAAAAATTCATGTTAGTCTAAAAATAATTTCTGGAGTATAGTTGCCAGCTGAAGTGCATAAGTAATAATTGCATTTATTGTTGGATTTTAAGAACATTAACTATTAAATTTTAAAAAAAAGATTTTTTAAAAAATTTTAAGCGAGAAAATATTTTAAAATGATTACGTTAAGAAGAAGATTTCCAATGAAGATGTGATGCCAATGTATATATCACGGAAGGATGTGCTGCCATCTACTGAATGTTGTTGTCATTATCTGTTCCATGAAGAAAGAGTATATTTTTTATCTAAAAAAGTCTAATTTATATATATTAGAAAAATAATAAATATTTTATCGTAATTAAAAATTAAGACTTTTCCATATTTAATATCATAAAATGAATCTTAATGTATTTATTGAAAAAATATCATTTATTTATCCAATGAATACATTAAATAAGAGGTATCCAGAGCAAGAATACAAATAATAATGATAACAATTTAAATAAAAGTAATTCAGTTTGTGAAATCAAGTCTGTGGAATCAACGAAGGAGAATGTACAATGGATATTGCATTCAAGTTCATTTCCAGCTCATGAAGTTTTTTATTCAAACACTCCTTGTAAAGTTAATAGGTAAATAGAGGCACGCTCATGCACATATGAAATCGCCGAAGCCATGAAATTTTCTTTTTAAATATGAATTATGAACCAGTTAAAGAAAAAATTGTACAACATTCTATATTTGGAGAGACAGTGATACTTGATACTTTGATTACTTTGGTGTTTTTCCTGGCATTCAGCAGGATTTATTCGTTCCTGCTCTTGCCAGTATCATCGAAACAAATAAATCAAGTTTATAAGATTTATTTATGTAGTCCTGATGGTAAATATCTTAGTTATGTTCAATTTGAGGCTTTTTTAAGAATCGTCCCATTTCAGGCTTTTTTGATGGTTTAGGTAAGACAAGTTCCCATTTCATCCTTATGATGTAAAATCAACGTTAAATCCGGAAATGTGATCCGAAATTGTGAAATATGTACGAAATGATGCCACAGAGTTCTTTCAATAGATTATAATCTTATATATCGCACTCTCTTTAATTCGTCAGGCTGAGAATACTAACTCTCTGCTGCTAGAAAGATATTCCAGAGCTTGAATTTAAATGGGAATAGATGATTCAGTTTAAAATTTTATTCATTTATTTAACATTAAATGTCAATGTCATTTTTAGTCGTTATCATATTCACAAGGCAGGGCTTAATTTCTAATAATAGAGGTGTTGAAGCCCTATGGAAGGTCAAGAAAACGGAACAAAAATTTTTTAATTAATTAATTTTTGCTCCTCTGATTAATTAATTAATTAAAATTTAAAGTTTATTAAAATGTTAAAAAGTAAATTAAAATGTAATAAATTATTAAACAAATGATAAATAGTTTAACTATAAAATACAATATCGAACCTCGTCTTATTTGGGGCTTTGGCTGAAATTACAATCTCGCTCAAAAATTCATACAGTTTCAGTTAAAAACTAAAGAATAGCGCATCCGGGCTCAGGTTGAACAAAATACTATTTCTAGGAACAACAGAAGCAAAAAGCATTATTTTCTCAGCACACTGAGAAAATAATAAAGCAATTAAAGCGTCACTAATCAGAATAGAGAGTATGCTAGAAACAGTATGATAGATAGTACGGAAAGAAATTTTAACAGATGATGCGTACGTATGAAAAGAAAGAAGCGTCCAGCCCTCTTTGACTAACATTCACTGCTAATGTAATGCTGTCAAGCAGAATGTGACAGTGAAACATTTCCCTCGAATCGGAAGATTAATCTGTAACGTGACAATGATCTTCCTTCTTCCGTGGAACGGTGTACACACCAGGGTACCTAGGTGCGAGACCTTATTCGTAATCAAATAGAGTTGTACTTTAATAATCAGTACCAAAACATGAGCTAAATCCAAAATAATGACTCTGTTTTAAAACAATAAATTAGCAAAAATAATATGTGAGCTGAAATAATGAGTAAAATGAACTTTGAGACTAAGAGTTAGTCTCAAAGTGCTGTTGAATCAGAAAGCCATCGAATTGGTGTGATTGCTGAAAAACATGTAACAATAATTAACGAGTGAGATGTAAGAGCTTTGGTGCTTTCAATTAAGGTGGTACTAGACAAGACTTACAATAAACAACTTACAATATATAATCATGTGAGTTGAAACTAGATATGCAGAGAAACTAAGTGAAATATGACATACACGTTACAACAGAAACATACATACCAACAGTACAAATTACAAACAGTAATTAATCATTATTCGTGTTTAGAATAGAAATAGGTCTGTAACAGTTCAGAGGGTCATTGATGTCGTTGTCACAGATTTTTGATAACAGGATTACCTATGAATTTTTGATTTTCATAAAAGTTTTTGGCAAGATGGTAGTAACAGGTTCTTAGTAGTTATACTTTCAGTTTCTGGTAAATTCTGTTGTTACGTACGTACCATGGCGAATTTGTTATTTGGCGCAGAACGCAGCTCTGTGCCGTTTGGAGTTTCTTTCTATTAATACGACAAGCGTAAGCTCATACAGGGCATGCATAACATAATACTGGACGCAAGATTAATTTGTAAATGATTAGTTTGTTGTCAATAGATAGAACACTGTTTCGAGCAATTAAGGGGATGAGTTGTGCTTTCCTTGCTCGAAACTTCTTAATAATAGAAGTAATATGTGGGATTCATGTGAGAGAATTACTGAGGATCACCACGAGATAAGAAACCTGCTTGTCCTAGGGAATAGATGTACGATAAAATTTTAGATTTTCCTTGATTTTTTTCTTTTTAGTGAACATGGCTTGGTATTGTCCAGATTTACTAATATCTTCCATTTTTCCAGTCAATTCTCAAGTGTTTGGATGTGTTCTTGTAAGCATTAAATGACTGGACTAAGAAAGTCACTTTGTGTCAGGATCGCTGTATCATCTGCATACATTGCAAGCGCGGTGTTGGGTGTGGTGGATTCCATCATTGTCCTTCGTATTTGGCAACATCATTCCAAAAAAAAAAAAAAAAACAGCCACTCTTTTCCGCGTGAGAGAAGTAATATTGTTCCTGCACGAGCAGGATCACTTTTATGATTTTTGAAAACGAAAGATTTTCCTGTTGTGATGATTCATTGCACTATCTAAAGAATGTAAGTCTTTTCATGTGGGTAAGAAAAGAGTTCAAATCCGAGGAAAAGACAAAGCATGCATTCAGAAGTTATAATTGTTTTTAAGGCCTTACTTGTTAATAAAATAATATTTTGCAGATCAAGAGAATTTTCTCTTGAAACTGTAGTTTAATTATTTAAATTAAGGGCCAGAGACCTCTTATTTAGTGCTGTGATACGCCCCGGCTAAAATTATGATTTATGACAAAACCTGGCAATTTATCTCTCTATCTGATTCAGTATCACCGCCGTTATTGCGCGTAATGGGGTCTGTCCGGCTCATTAATATAATACTACTGGGGCGATTGACGTAAATAGTTCGGATAAAAGTTCTCAATGAGAAACCAAGTGCTGAGAAAATTGACAATTTAGGACACTTGGATTCTGACATCAATTGCGCTGAGTAGCTCTTACTAGTAACGGAAAAGTAAAATCCTTGGGGTAAGGGAATTTAACTTAAAACGACATTAAAAGTCCAGCATCAGCCTTTAGAGGCTTTAAAATCATCACAAACATGTATTTGCAATTTCATTTAAAAACTAGTCTTAAAAAAATGGAAAAATATTCATTTGCGTTTTGTGGTGCCATCTGGTGTTCATTATTATACATCTAACATACCACTTCTCAATTTCTTTTCATTTTAGTAAAAGCATTTTCAGTTTCTCTTCTTTTCACTTAAGAAAATTACCAACTAATAACATTACACGCCCTTTTTTTTAATTGCAGAAGAAAAGGTTACAATTTTTTACTTATTTCTTTAACATATATTCTCATTCACTTAGTTTAATACAATTACTGTCATCAAAAGATACGTGCGTTGTATTTAGCCTAATAGAACTCTTTTAAAGTTAAGAAAAAATAGTATAGTTTCTTCTGATGTTAACCCAAAAAAGAAACTTAGTAATTTCTGATTTGGTAATTAGGCTGCCAAAGAAACTGTGTCTGCATATCATATACTGGGATTTTTCTTCATATCTTCAATATTCTCAATAGCAATTAAGAGACAGAATGCTTCATTTTTTTTTTTTTTTTTCCTTTAAAAAATAATGTTCTTTCACGTAAAAAGAAGACATCCTACAGACTTATATGCGTAAAGCTCATTTAAAGAATTTCTTTCATATTTTAAATGCTAGCGTGAATACATCTGGGGAATAAATTTATGAAATAAAGGTACCAATCTAACAAATGAGATAATCTAAAGCAAGTCCTTTTCAGCATTTAGTGAAAAATCTTCTCATTAAAGCGAAATATTTTACCTATAAAGAGACATGAGCGTCAAATTTAAATTATGTTTAATGTTGCGAGCCCAAAAGTAATAATCATTATTAGTGACAACTATCACTGTTTTCATTGTAGCTGTGAATTACAGTAAGCATGTGCAACTCTGAATTTATTTCTTTCGGCTATTTTTTCCCACCTAATAAATAAGTGCGAGTATGCTATGCTACTGGTGGTGGTGCCATCTGTTAGGTGTTTTTCTGTTGATCATACTCTTGTAATTGTAGTTGTAAATTCTGATTTCAGAATTTCACGTACTAGGGAAACGGTGTAGCACCAGGCTGCTTTGGTCAAGGACCCTACCCCTTGTAGAACAGATATGTTATTTCG